GAGTCTTCAAGAATTAGATTTCAGCCAAAACAGTTTTGAAGGGACACTTCCACCATGTCTAAACAATTTAACATCTCTTAAACTTCTAGATATTTCAAACAATTTCTTCTTCAAAAATCTTTCCTCAGATTTGATACAAGGCCTCCCATTATCCCTTGAATTTATTGATCTTCGTCACAACAATTTCCAAGGCTTATTCTCCTTCAGCTATATTGGAAATTATTCTAAGCTAGAGGTATTCATGCTCACAGGCTACAAAGATAGATTACAGGTTGATGCTCAGTATCCAAAATGGATTAATTTGTCATTTCAATTCAAGGCATTGATTCTTTCTGATTTGAGCCTAAGCAGTATTCCACAGTTTCTCTTTTATCAACAAAAATTGAGAGTAATTGATCTTTCCCACAACAAGTTGAAAGAAAAGTTCCCTATTTGGTTACTACAAAACAATTCAAATCTCAAATTTATGAATCTCAGGAATAATTCTTTTGTTGGTCAACTCTATTTGCCATCATATGCAATTGGAAATATGGTTTGGCTAGATCTCTCAAACAATCATTTTACTGGAAAGTTACTAGAGGATTTTGGGGACAAACTTCTTGGCTTACAGTATCTTAATTTGTCTCAGAATCAGTTTGAAGGCACTCTCCCAAGTAGTCTTGGTAAGATAAGAGATTTGGTCAACTTGGATTTGGCCTTCAATTTTTTCTTAGGAGAAGTCCCTAATGAATTGCTTGTGGGTTGTAGCAAGTTGGAACATTTGAGGTTGTCTCATAATAGATTTAATGGCCAATTTTTCTCATCTGAATTCAACTTGAGCAGTTTGTTTCAACTAGAATTGAACAACAATGAATTCACTGGAAGCTTGTTGAATGTGAACCTTGAGACATTGAACATTTTAGATGTTAGCAACAACTACTTGAGGGGTCCAATTCCTGCCTGGGCTAATAAGGTGAGTTGATTAATTTCAATGAGGAATAACCCTTTTTAAGGTAGATTATATTCTATCATTCTGAATTTGATTGGGCGAAATCTAACTAGTAAATAAATACATGGGTACAATATACTAATAATATCTTCTTTTTTCTTTTTTCTTTTTTTTGCCATAATATCAGGTAAGTTGGTTAATTTCAATGAGGAATAACTCTTTTGAAGGCCAATTTCCATGCCAACAACCTATGTCTGCGTCATTGCTTTTTATGGACCTCTCTCATAATTTTCTTTTCGGTCCTCTACCTTCTTGCATTGATTTCACCAATATAGTTGACATTCATTTAGAAGGGAACAAGTTCACAGGATTGTTGCAAGATTTTCTTCCCAATTCCTCAAGTTGTCTTTCTGTGTTGAATCTCAGAGATAATAGCTTGTCTGGTGTCATTCCTAACCTGATTGGTACGTTTCTAAATCTAAAACTTCTTCTATTGGGAAAAAATCATTTAAAGGGTTCAATCCCAAAGACATTGTGTTTATTGAAGAATATAAGTATAATGGACCTTTCTAGCAACTCTTTGTCTGGAACAATACCTTCTTGTTTCCAAAATTTAACCTTTGGGGTGATGGAGAAACATAATGAAACTCTTGAACAAGATCAATTGCAGATTATGAATGAGTTTATTGATGAAAATCACATATATGGAGATCTCATAAAGAAGAATCTAGACCTTGTCATAGATATTGAGGCTATAGGATTGAATGAGATTTATCTAGTTGATAAAAATAGGGGCAGATCTTACAAGGGTAGTATACTAAATTTCATGTCTGCTCTTGACATGTCCTGTAATGATCTGACTGGAGAAATCCCTCAAGAGCTCGAAAAGTTCACACAGATTCGTGCTTTAAACTTATCTCATAATCACTTTACGGGTTCTATTCCAGTCACTTTGTCAAAACTATCCAAGATTGAAAGCTTAGACCTCTGCTGTAACAATCTGAGTGGAAATATACCTCCTGAGTTGACCAACCTAAACTTCTTAGAGGTCTTCAATGTGTCATATAACAACTTATCTGGCCAAATTCCAAAGAAAGGACAGTTTTCTACATTCGAGGAGAGTAGCTATGAAGGAAACCAATTTCTTTCTGAGCTACCATTGGAGAAAGGCTGCACCACTAATATTGAGACACCACATTTTGAATCGTTGGCTTCAGATGCAACTAAAGGGAAATGGTATGAAGTTGACCTTCCTGCTTTTCATGCATGTTTTTTCCCGGCGTATGTTGTGTTCTTTTTGTTGATTGTGTCCCTTCTCTACATCAATCCTCATTGGCTTAAAAGGCCACTTCATTTCATATTGAACATCAACTACCTTTTGAATTTGGCACTCTTCAATATTTTGAGTCGTTGATGAGGATTTTTTAGTAGTCCATCTTATTACCTAGTTCTTGCAACTTTATATCCCATGTAGTCAATTTAGCCCTTTAGATGTGACAACACCTAGTTATTGTGTATAAGTTTGGGAATCTGAATTTGAAAAAGGTGTTTATTTGAATTTGGGGTTTAAATTCAAATGAAGTGTTTGTTTTTAGGTGACAATAGTGCATATCAATATATGCATTTTGACATCTGTATTGTAAAGGCCCAAGTACATGTATTTATAACTTGAACGTCCTTTCTTCACTTTAAGAAGTTCAAGGTGTATTTACAAATTTAAGTTTGGCTACTTCCTAATTTAAAATGAAATGTTGTCAAACATAAACTATTGATTGCTTCAGGGCATTGTTCTCTCCATGGTTAAGAAAAACACAGTCTTAAAGTGAACAAAATCATAGGCATTTCAACTCCAAGTTAAATCTCATCTCTATTGGCACACTCTTAACTAATTGATATTATACTTTTTAATATAATTATTTATTATGTTCTTATAATACATATTTTAAAAAAAAAATTGTTTTCAATAAATTAAAAAATATAATAATTAATTAAAATAAAAAATATAATATTTACAATTAAAAATATAATATTTATAATTAAAAATATAATAATAACATCACCCCAAAACAAAACCCGAAGTAAAAATAAAATGGGCAACGAAACAAACGATGGGGGGACGAGTCAACCAT